ATAATAATTACATGAGAAGGACAGAGAGAATCATAAAATGAATAAGCATCAAAAAGCAAAACACTATTTTTCCAAATTTAACTTATTTTTGTTTCTTGAATTGATTAATGTTGTAAACATAAAAAGGCAGGCAGCAAGAAAGCAAAAAACTCTTATTTCCTTATGAATATAATTAATAATTAAGTTATTTTTGTATTGGTTGTGAGTACAAAACTATTTCTTGCTTTTGCGAATGTCATTGTCAATTTATCTTTAGCACACTTTCACACGAATATTATATGCTCGACAGAGCATGATTGTGCACGGAACACTGCGCACTTGTGTTTTCTACGGTTACAAGAGAAGAGATATTTTTTTCTTTAAGACTACTAAAGACTTGTTTGGTAGGACTTACGTTTTTGGTAGAAGAGCTTCTTGAGCCAAACAAAACATAAAATTATTCAAACATGTTCAAAATTATGAAATTTTGAGCTACGTGAAGATGGGTTACAAATATTTCACTCCCTGATCCCTAAGCTATGAAAAGTGTTCGATTGTCGTCCGTAGACGACAAAACCTCAATTTGACACTTAGAATGCCATCCTAGTTTGAGACCTTTTTGCTACGATCAGTTGGAAGAAATTATTCTTCAACTAAGTGAACTCTCGAAGTCGAATCATTAGTATCATTCATCTCTAATGATTAGGTGGATTGATCCACATCTTTTTACGAGTCTTCAAAATGGTAGCAAGAATTTAAAATCTATCCGTCAACAACACTCGATATTAATTAAAAAGTTATTGAACAATTTTAGACGTCGAATCGAAATCTTGATAACTTTATTTCTTGTGGAACGAATTATTTGTGACCAACAAAATAGTCTCAATATCAAATACCCATTTTGACCTTTTTTTTTTTTTTTTTGCCAGATTCAGACAAAGTACATAACCAACAAACGGCCCCAAAATTCAGTAACTTCCCTCCACACTTGTTGCCTGTCCAGGGACCTCATTGGTGTTGTTAATATTCACGAGGGCAAATCGGTCAGTTTTCTTTAATCCGATGATCTTACCCGGATATCCCTCTTTACGACGTTCGAAACTCTCCGTTCTGTCTGTATCGGCTGTTTTGCTGCCGACAAATCCCGGTTTATTGGGGAACCAGTAAATTGAAACGCTGTCGTTTTAACATGACACGTTGTCGTCTGGGCTAACTGTGCGCTGGATGCGAAAATGAAATCTATGTGGTCCCTATCATAAATGAGACTTTAATGAATTAAAAGAAAACCTCTTAGCACTTAGCCTCACGCAAACGTGTGTTTAATAAGCAACTAATTACTTATAATTAAGTAAGCCTCCAATTTATCAAGAGCCTATTTGAGAGTGATTTTAAGAATTAATTTTTTGATCGTTAAGAGAAAAGTGGGATCCACCTATGAGAAAAGAAGTCAAATATAACAGCTAGAATCATGAAATAACGGTCAAAAAATCAATTTTTTTGATAAAAAAATTAGGCCCAAACAGGCTCTAAGTTGAAATTATGTTAGCTATTTCGAGAATAAGAAAAAAATATTTAAAATAAATAAATTTAACTTTTTAATCTTAGCCAATCGTGGTTAAGCTTAAATAAGGTAAAAGTTACTTTTATATGCATCTAAACAATTTCAATAATATTAAAGTAAAGATTTTTCTTTTTTCAAAAATAAAGAGTCCGTTTGATTGCAAAGATGAAAAAAACAAACAAATTTCATGTAAGTTGAAAGAAGAAAAACCACAAAAATTATAAGAATGCATTTTTTTTATAGAATTGGAATTCCAGCTCCATTTTCATTTTCCTATTAGACAGTCAAAGTAGAAAACGAATTTATCGGATTTGACATTTTTTACGGAATTCACTCCAACCAAATCGACCCTAATACTAATTTATTTTAAAATATACTTTTTATACCTATAAGCTAACATTTTAAAGCTCAGCAAATAAAGATTTTTGGATTAATATTCTCAACTAAAACAGGTAGAAATCGATTAATATTATTGGGGCTCCACTAATTAAAATCGGGTATAATGGTCTCAAACCAACCGAACCGTTCGTCTTCATAATGTACTGTGCAATATTTAATTACTTTTACTAAGTGGTTCAGAAAAATTGTAAGCAAAATTAAAGTAACTGAGATTGGAGTACATATCTTTCCTTTTTTACATGAATTATTATAAAAGCCTACTATTGTGGTTGATAACCGTCGATTTGTACATTTTATTAATAGAATCGAGTTTTGTATTGGCTAAATTTAGTGCTTGTTTGATAGGTCTTTTAAGTGTTCAAAAGCAGTGAATCGTTTGATATGTGGATAGTAAGTGAATATTAAATTATGATCCTATGGGTTGTATGGATGAAAAACGTATATTAAGTCTTATTCAGCGAAACATGTTATTAATTTTGATGTCATGCTTTGTAACTCAGTTGATTTTTACATTGAAAGTGGAGTCGAGACCACTGGTTGGATCCTGCAACATGTTGCGAATAAATACATATTCGGTAGGTTGATTGATCAAGATGGAGATCAAATACATGTAACTCGGTTGACGATCAAGTTGTTGACCTCCAATGATCAAGCTATAAGTTTTAGAACCTTATGAAGGAGTGCTGGGACCACACTCTCAAGAATCCTAATGATAACAGATACTTCGCTACGACACTCCAACCCTTGTCTCCAGCACTTTAAAAGTGACCATCCATGTCACCTTTTGTTGTATGATTTGTTGCTTAATAGCCATTCTATCAAGATTTGGAGGAATTTGTAATCAATATCTTAACTAATCGTATTTCGACATGAACAAACACCTCAAGTACAAATGTATTGTTACGTTCTTATCTAATTTCTTTGTTGATTATCTATTGAGTTTGGCAGCTAACCTGAATTGACCTAGATTGACAATTCAGATTAGCCATCTAAACATAACTATATTAAACTTATATTTTGACAACTCAACTCATTTTTCATCTGAATCGATCTAACTAAAAGTTAATTTGACAAAGAAAAAGTCAAGTGAAAGAGATCATTGGAGGTTACCAAACGACTGCAGAAAATTTGGGTTGCTTTGACCCCTATCACTATGTCCTATTTGGCATGCAGATAAAAGATTTGAAAAAAAGGGGACATAAATAATTAAAAAATGATGTTTATTTCAACACTTTATGATCGTTAATTATTGATATGGAGAGATATAATATTATATATTCAAATTGTTTGCTCTAATTTAATTCCTTCATTTCTTCTACTAATTATTATCAAATTAGAAGTGAANNCTCCAACTATTAATCCTAATTTGGGAACATTAACAAACTAAATAAGAATACCACAGAATTTCCATGAAAAAATTCTAACATTTTTAAAAAAAATTTCAGTTTGACTCAGCCCCCGTTTATTTCTCATTATTAGCTTATTAAAATAAAAAATATGACCGTTATCTATCACATCAAGCTACAATATTTGACTTTCTATTTCTTGTGTGGGACCCGTAACGACTATATTTTTTATTCTCATTTTTACATTAATGTGTACTAAATGGGGCCTTATTATAGACATGCGTATAACATAGACGAGTTAAACTGGATATAGTCGAATTTGACCTGCAAAGTTAATACCTTATTCAATAAAAGATCCCTGATATAATAATTATATACTTAGGGGGTGTTTGATAGGCATTTTTATGTAAAAATGCTTTTGAGAATAGTAAATTGATGTGAAATGTGTGGTTGAAAAATAAGGAAAATTTTTTGATTTACGTGTGATATTATTTTAATAAAGAATTGTGGTTGAAAAGAAGAGATAGAAAAATCCATTTTGCAGAAAATGACTACCAAACAGGCTCTTAATCATGACAAAATTGAATTTATTAAAATAAATATTTAATTTTAGATAATAAATAAAATTACATAAATGATGAGCTGGCCATTGACTCCAAAATACAGCTCAGCTTTTATCCTGTCACCCACTTGCCAAAATCCCATTTTCCAAGGGCAATTCCGCCATTTAATAAAAAAGATTTTATACATTTTTTTTTACCATATATATGAGGCGAAAATAACATGTATTTTCGTTTGCTCGAAATTATGGGGAAATAATTTGAAAATTGTATCCCAACCTACTGCATGTCTGGCAAGTTGATCCTCCACTTTTTGAAAGGAACAAATTGTTCCTTAACAATTTAGGGGCAGGATTGAGCCCCACGAGTATTGGATTTAACAAATTTTTTCGCCTTCCCTACTTAACATCTCATTATAGTGAAGGAAACAATCTGCGCTCGTATTTGGCCTAAATATTTTTAAAAATTATTCTTACTCAAATTAATTTTCAATCATACATTTCATCAGATTCATAACATTTATAAACTTTTTAACCATATATTTCATGAACTATTTATTTATTTATTTGTTTTAAAAATCAACTAAAAACATGATTTTTAGCTAAACTAAACATGCGCTAAATTCTTGATAAATCATCACTTGGTCCCCCTAGGTAAGGATAATAAATGTCTCTTTTCTGCCTTAGTTCGGACAAAAATTTTCCATCGGACTAAGGAATTGGGGTTGGAACACAAAATACAGGCTCATTGCAACTCTTTTATTCTATTTTTATATGTTCAAATTTAAAACATATTCAAATAAATAAATAAAAAGTATAATAGAGAGGGAAATTGAAATATTTTAATTTTTATTTCATTCTGTTGCCATACGTGTTTAATTATTGAGCTAAGTTGGAAATAAAATTTAACATTATAAAGTTGAACATGCAAAAGGTCCCACTACAATTTAACAAATATATAAATGCTTTTCACCATTAGAGGTTGATTATGTAATTAAATAAAAGATAGAAGCCTAATTTGCTATGTTTTAAATATTGGAGATCAATGTGCTAAACGAACAATAGGTTAACAACTAATAAAGTTATTTTCCAAATTTTGCTTCCAAAATTTAAAGAGCTGATTCTTGGAACTTCTTCAATGTATTGCCTTCTTAAGCTGACACATAAAGCAGAATATTTTAGCTCCCCTACCCCACCCCGCTCCTCGCCACCACTTCCACCACCGTCTCCTCCCTCCAAAAACACGCACACGCACACAGTAAAAGTGCAGCATTTTCAAACCCAGATCTTAATTTTTCTTATTTTAGCTTAAATTCCCAAGCTGGACGCAAATTGGCTTTTGCTAGCAATTATACTTAACTGGTAAGTGGGATAACATACACATGCACACACAAAAACTTAAGTGTGTGTGTGTTTTTTTGTGTTCATCTAAGTTTCCCATTGTAATTTGGTAGTTGATGACTAAATTTTTACTGGCTTCTGTTTTGTGTACTCTGTTTCTTTGTAGACGCCATTTTTCTCTTCTTTCTCACATTTTTAATCACTTTGTCTTCTGGGTTTATGTTTTGAGAGAACCTTCCGTTTCCCCCCTTTTTTCCCAGGTGGGCTCGAATCAATTTGTATTATTATGTGGTTATTTTTCTTTGGTTTCAATTTTATTTGAAGTTATCCAAGAATTATTGTGAATCTTCTCTGTGTTGAAATTGCTTGGATCTTAATTCATTAGTCTAAAGTTTAAGTGCAAACTGTTTTTGTACATTTTGGTTTCAGATTCAAGACACGAAATTTGTTTCTGATTACACCTTTTTAATGTTCGAAATAACAATTTGATTTTAATATTTTTGGGTTCATTTGTTGTGATCAATTCCTGTCTCAAATTTTGGATGATGATCTCCATTTACGAAATTTGTATATATATATATATATATTGGATGATTAATAATAAAAGACGTAATTTTTTTATGTTTAACATTATTTTTTGGTATTTTTGTTTCATTATGTGAATGTCAAATTCACGGTGTATTTTCATTGATTTTGGTGGCCTATCCTTTTCTTTATTCCTATTTTCATATTTTTAATCATCTCTTATAGTTGCATGGCTTTAAAATTTGCATAATTTTTGTAATGTAGGATCTGTATTAATGATTTGATGGGAATATTTCTTTATGTATATAGCTGACCCTCCAATTATTTGCCCTTGATTTTAATCTTATAGTCTGAAAACCTTTTTGACTTCTACTTAATTCTTCAATTTTTTCATCCCTTGGGCTTGTATATGTTAAAACTTAAAATTGTTGCACAATGTAAAGAGATGCATAGTCGGTGTTTATAGTAGAAATCATGAACAATGCCTGTAATTTTGACTGATGTTTCCCATTTTTTATATTTTCATTGGAAATGTTAATTGTAAATCATGTCTACTCATCTTGATAGGAGAATAAAGCTCCAAATTCTTCATTTGAGTGCATATTACCTGGTTTTTTAACTCCTACTGGTCCATATATGTTAAAAAGGGAAGTAGGGAAGTTGTCGAAACATGTAATAATGCACCACTAATGCTTTTATGATTAACTGTAACCTGACGTTAGAACTGTAGAGCACTAGTGTTAATATGTTGACATGAAAAAAGGTGTAGGTATAATTCTTGACTGACGTTATATTATCACTGACTCCAAGGCATTTTAAATAAATGTCCTGAAGTACGCAGAGGTTGTTCTTGTTGATTAAGCAATAGTGGACTTTTGAGGTCCAAATGATGAGTTTTAGAATAACATTAACTGACATATTTGGCTATCTTTTTTAGACAAATAGCATATAATGGATAAAAGAAGTTGGCCCTGGAAGAAAAAATCATCTGAAAAGCAAGTGGCTGAGAAATCACTTGCAATTGTGTCAGGCATTCCTACTTCCCCTCCCAATGTAGCGGCAACTCAGGCTGACCAGGTTTGTCAATATTATCGCTTGCAGTTCTTTTATTTGAGATTGAGAGCATGTTTTCTAAGCTTAGAAGGTTCACTTATATGTCAATAATCAGCTACAAAATGTTTTCATTGGTCAAAGTTCAAAATTACTAAGGGCCTGTTTGGTAGTTATTATAAGAATTTATTTTTTGACCGTTAGAGAGAAAATTGGTCTTATCTGTGAGTGAAGAAGTCAAAATGAAGGCTGAAATAGTGAAATAATGGTAAAAAGATTAATTTTTTTGGGTGAAAAATTGCCACCAAATGGGGGCTAAGTTACTTATTTGTTAGGGCATGAACTGCAATTGGGCTAGTAAATAAATTAAATATGAACTTCAGTATTGAAACCCAACAAATTTATGTTGTGTCTTTGAGGTAACTTTGCTCCTTTTAGTGCTGAAGATCTTGAGGAATGAGGAATTGCATCCCGGGATAGACAGGACAAGGCAGTTGGACTGCGCTCCCTTCAGTTGTTGTTTTTTATTCTAGTTGAAAGTGCATATAAATCATCTTTCAACCAAAATCCTCAAGTCATGTGCAAGCCATGCAATGTTTTAACTGCCACATTGGGCGAAATGCATTTCTGCAGATCCATCTCTACAAAAATTGAAGTTGTAATGCATACGAATGCAAATTTTTAAATAAGTTGACGAGTGTAGTTGTAATTTTCCTTTTTGATAGTTTTCTTCTTTTTTATGGCTGAGTTCAAAAGACTTTTAAGAAGCAAGAATTCCAATTTGACTATTACTTTACCCGCTAGGCATTTTCCATTTTGATGCTACTGATTTGGTTCTTAATTTATCCTTAATGTTGCTTGCATACTTTTTTTGTTTTATTTTTTTACAGGCTAAACAGGATAATAGTAAAAAAGCAAAGCATGTCCAAATTTCAGTGGAGTCATATACACATCTAACTGGATTGGAGAATCAAGTGAAGTCATATGAGGAACGAGTGATGACTTTAGAGGATGAAGTAAGGGAATTAAACAAAAAACTATCTGAAGCTAATTCAGAAATAATTAATAAAGAAAATCTGGTGAAACAGCATGCCAAAGTTGCTGAAGAAGCTGTCTCAGGTTTGACATCAATGTGATTCCCATACATTCTGAAACAGCTATATTATATTTGGATGGTTGTTGCTTATTTTTTCTTTTCTGCAAAACAATAAAAAATCTGTGGACACTTATTTTCTGAGATACTTTTGCACAGGTTGGGAAAAGGCTGAGGCAGAAGCTTCAGCATTGAAAAATCATCTGGAATCTGTCATGCTGTTAAAGCTTACTTCTGAAGATCGGGCATCACAGTTGGATGGTGCTCTTAAGGAATGCATGAGGCAGATACGAAATTTGAAGGAAGAGCATGAACAAAAGTTGCATGAAGTTATTCTTAACAAAACAAAACAGTTTGACAAGATGAAGCTTGACCTTGAAGCAAAGATAGCTAATTTGGACCAAGCATTACTCAGGTCTGCTGCTGAAAATGCTGCACTATCGAGGTCTTTGCAAGAACGCTCCAATACGCTGATCAAGCTAAGTGAAGAGAAAACACAAGCTGAGGCAGAGATAGAACATTTGAGAACCAACATTGAGTCCTGTGAGAAGGAAATAAAGTCACTCGATTATGAGCTCCATATTGCCAGTAAGGAGATTGAAATTCGTAATGAGGAGAAGAACATGAGTGTGCGGTCTGCAGATGCAGCAAACAAACAGCACCTGGAAGGAGTAAAGAAAATTGCTAAGCTTGAAGCAGAATGTCAAAGGTTACGAGGTCTTGTTCGGAAGAAATTGCCAGGTCCTGCTGCACTAGCCCAAATGAAACATGAAGTTGAGAACCTCGGCCGAGACTATGGAGAATCCCATTTAAGAAGGTTTCCAATAACGCCTCCTTCTCCGCACTTGTTTCAACTTCCTGAATTTTCACTTGACAATTTGCAGAAGTATCAGAAAGAGAATGAGCTACTTGCAGAACGTCTATTGGCAATGGAAGAAGAAACAAAGATTTTGAAAGAAGCATTGTCGCACCGTAATGACGAACTACAAGCCTCTAGGAGTATATGTGCCCAGACAGCTAGCAAGCTTCAAAGTTTAGAGGTGCAAATGCAAGCTAACAGTGAGGAGAAAAGTTCTTCCAAATCCAATATTCAGCTTGCAATTGATGGGTTGTATAGTCAAAATTGTAACGATTCAGCAAGCTTGATCTCCAGGGCTGGAGATGGCAATGATGATGATGCTGTTTGTTCTGGGTCATGTGCTACAGCAGTGACGTCTGAACTCTCTAATTTCAAGATGCAAAAGTATGTTGATTGTTTACAAAAATCTGAAACTGCAAGTCACTTGGACCTTATGGATGACTTTCTGGAGATGGAGAAATTAGCACTTCTGTCAAATAATTCAAATGAAGCAGTTTCCAGGGCAGATACATCTGGTAATATATCCAATGCAAGATCTGGAATTGTGAACCATGATATGGTAGAAGTCACCACAAGCCCAGATGCCCAATCTAGTCAGCATCATAATTCAAAAGCTCAAAAACATCCCAAGGAAGAAGCAACTGCATCAAGTCCTCAACTCCAAGTATACCAGCCTATTTTTCTGAAACTCCAATCGAAGATTTCGGTGCTTAAATCAATGTCTACGGAGAAGGACATGGAAGGATCTTTGGAGGACATTTGTCGTGTTGTTCAGGATTTTCTGGATACTCTCCATCACCAGTCGGTGAATTGTGTTGATGAGGTGACTCATTGTCCTGCAACTCCAAGTTATCACCAGACCTTTGCTGAGTATCCTGCAATTCCCGTGGAAAGGGAAATGCTTTTGTCTGGAGAAGGCAAACCATGTACTAAGTCTGCACATACCACTAACCAAGAGGTAGAAGCTGCAATTTCTCAGATCTATGCCTTTGTAATGAATCTTGGCAAAGAAGCTAAGGCTGTTGTGGGAATATCTCCAGATGTAGTAGCGTTGAAACAAAAACTGGATATATTCTCTGCCAAATATAATGACAGCATTAGAAGTGGTACAAATCTGATGGATTTTGTTCTAGATCTTTCTCAAGTGTTAAACAAAGCAGGTGTGCTTCAATTTAATGTCCTTGGATATAGAAGTTCTGAAGTGGAAAATGGCAGTTATGACTGTATTGATAAGATCGTGTTACCAGAGAACAAGGGTGTAGTGGACTCATTGGGGAAGAGATATCCGAATGGTTGTGCCCACTTTTCTGATACTACTTCTGATCCTGACATTTCACATGATGGAAATCTTGTTCCAACCTCCGAATCAACAACCCCTTTGTGGGAATGCTCTTTGGAAGAGTTTGACCAATTGAAATTGGAGAGAGATAATATGGCAATTGATCTTGCTACATGTACTGAAAACTGGGAAAACACCAAGTCTCAGTTGCTTGATACTGACCAACTTCTCACTGAGGTAAAGTCACAATTAACATCGGCGCAAAAATCGAACAGGTTGGCTGAGACTCAGCTCAAATGCATGGCAGAGTCGTATAAATCACTTGAAACACGGGCAGAGGAGATACAGACTGAAGTAAACATCCTCCATAGTAAAATAGAAAGCTTGGACAATGAGTTACAAGAGGAGAGAAGAAGTCATCAAGATGCATTGACCAGATGCAGAGATCTTCAGGAGCAGCTGCAAAGGTTAGTAATAATTTTTTTTCCTTGTGTAGGCTTCCTGCACCAATGCTGCTTCAGTGCCTTCTTAAACTGATAATCCTTCACGGGCTTAATTTATATTGTCTGAAATGAATTTGTTATAGCTTGTGCATGTCTAGTACACCTGAGAATTGAATAAGCATTTAGGTCTTGCATATACTCCTAAGTCTTAGCCCTAAGAACTGTTAAACCAATACTTGGGATATAGTTTTCAACTATGGTTAAAAGGAAACTATGATTCTGATTTCTCGAACACGACCACTTCCCGTTCCATGTTCAGTTTCTTGATTAGAAATTTAATCAATCCAATTACCTGTAAATAATTACATGATTTGCTTCCCAATGTTCCACAGCACTTGGTAGCGTCCCCTACTTCCAAATTATGCAACACTGATAAAATTATGTATGGAGATGTTGCTTTTATACTGTCTTACAGCCCTTCTACCATTAAAAATCTCTCCTTGTCTATCTGTCAACTGCTAATGACTAAAAACATTGCCTGCTTGGGTGAATTGTTCAAGACATGCTGAGCTGTTGTGACTTCATAAGTTACTGGTTTAAAATTGGGAGATAGCCTAATAGAACTTTATGAATTCGTGTTAAAAAAATTATGTCCAAAAAGAAAAATAAAAACATGTTTAAAAAATACCATCTGGTTCATTGTCAATATTTTGCTTTGTTATTTTAACTTTTTTCTATTAATACTTATTCCAGTGCTCTGTGATTATCCATGTAATTTGTTATTGAATAATTTGAGATCTTAATAGGTTTAATTTTATCTCGAATTCCTAATCATGGATGGCTTAATATTTTTTATGCCAGGACTGAGTGTGCAGCAGCTGATATTGATGCCAAGACTAACCAGGTGTATTATCTACAGTCACTATGACTTTTACTTATGTTTAATAGATCATTTCCTTCAGAGTTTTCGAGAGACATGTTGCCTTCCATTGCATTCATACTATGGATAACATTATGCCGAGAAGTTGTCCTCTCTTGAACAAATTAGGCTTTTAAATAAACAGACCAAAAATAGAGGCTATGTTCAAGTCTTCTTGCCACTGTTTATGAAAATTTTGCGTGTGCCGTACCCTTCTTAAAAAATTGATTTCAGTCTGCACATTAGGGAACATATTGAAGATTAAATCTAACTAGATAAATGTGTCTCCTCATCCTAGTAAATTGGCATGGTTTTTTATTCTAGACCCTTTACTTTTCATCAAGTTCATTTTTCTAATATGATCTTTACTGCTGATGCTTGTTCTTACAATGAACCAAGATTTGAGAGTGAACTTCTCCATTTGTTAACTTCATATTCGTGGCAGCTACCCTAAGTATTTGCAACCAACCGAAAGAGAGTCTGTTATAATTGTTTGTAGCAAGCATCTTTGTGCTTTGTTGCAATAGTAAATCCCTTACATTTCCACAATAGAAATTTGAATGTAACTTCATTCACTTTAAGAGAACATTTCTCTATCTTTACATGTTTGGAAGCAAAAATTCTTGAAGCTTAACCAAACGTTCTCTTATTTTTGTTATTTGTTATAAGCCATTGCACTTAATTTTCATTGAGATCATAACGTCAAAGGTAATTTATGATGACAATCTAATAGCTAACATAACAGCTTTGACAAAAGAACTTCACATTCTTTTTGTAATTCCATGATGATTCTTATTTTAAGTAACTTTTATTTCATATCATGTTTAGGTATGTTATTCTTTTATTTTTGTTTTTATTTTTATTTTTTTAGAAATAGCAGGGAAAGTTGCTTATTCTGAAAGTAACTTTTACCTTGTTGTCAATTAAGTAATTAATTTTCTTCCAACTATGATCAATTAAAAATTATTTATTTTAAAATTTTTTATGCTTAGCATGCATGCTACACTTATTTCAGGAGAAAGAGTTGGCAGCTGCTGCAGAGAAGCTTGCAGAGTGTCAAGAAACGATATTTTTTCTTGGTAAGAGGTTGAAAGCTTTACGTCCTCAAACCGACTCTATAGGTTCCCCACATAGTCTGAAAAGTAAGAAGAGCGAAGCCTCTACTGAAGAAGAGCCAATTATAAGTGGCTTGAATTTGCAAGATATTGATCCAGCAGAAATGAATGCCTCCTCTTCCATCAACTTGCAGAGGGCTTGCTCCGACTCCCCCCCAGATCTTTACAGTGTCCCGTTTAGTCCATCCGACTCTGAAGTATACAGTTTCTTAGGGTCGCCAATCAGTTCAAAGCATAGAAAACACCACCCAAACCAATCAGGCTCCTCTTCCGCGTCATCTACCCCTACGCCAGAGAAACATTCTCGTGGATTTAGCAGATTTTTCTCCTCGAAAGGAAAGAATGGTCTGTAGTTCTTGCGCCTCAATAGATTTATTGCAGTTTGTGAAACTCGACTGACCAAAAATCGTTTGTACTTGCCATTCGATTGTAATTTTTTATATAAGTTTGATATTTTGGGGTGTTTATCCATTAGTTTGGATTTAGATCTTCTGTCTTTAGCATGTAAATCAATGATAAATTACCTCTTTTTTGGGTGAATTCATTCATTAGTGAAAGTAATTGACGTGCATATCTTGTCACTTTTGAGACGCAGATCAATTTTTGAATTTAACAGATTTATATAGGGAAGATAGCGCTATATTCCTAGAGCTGACTTTGATATTTTGAGGCCTTATGCCAATTTCAAATTTGGGCCCTATATTGTGATTCTCCTTGTATAGAGTTTTAGCTTGTTTGATTGAGATAAAGCTCTTGTTTGAATCCCATTTTTTAATCAAAATACATTATTCAACGGTGATTTGACACTATTTCAACCATACATTTCTCAATAAAATAATATTACACACAAATTCAAAATTTTTCTTTATTTTTTCACTACACATTCTTCGTCGTAACATTATTTCAAAATGTATTTTTTTTTTTTTTTGTGAAAAATGGGGCTCAAACAACCCTTAAAATCAAAATTTTAGTAAATTTTGATAGAAGTAGATAGAATATGAGGATTTAAAGTTTTGGAACCCATAAAATATTTGGCTAAAATTAATTGTCAATTTTGACTTATATTAAAATCTAGATTTTAATTGATGCCAAACAGAGACTTAATATAATTATAAAGAATCTAACACAGGCAACTAAGTCCCAAAATTTGAAAAGAAAATAAACAAAATGTCAAATTTAAATCAGCAATACAAATTACAAGTAAAGTTCGACAAGCAGAATTACAATGCAATGACAAAGGGTTATGCTCATATGTATGATTATTTTCTCACTACAACTATTTCAAATAAATTTGAATATACATTTGAGTCATTTATGTACAAAATTGGAGAATATGACTGCAAAAGATAGTGTAACAAAATAATGAAAATGATGATCAAATATAAACAAACTTCTAATTTTATATTAATTTATAAGAAATAACTTAAAACAAGAAGTATTTGAATGAACAAGAACAAAGAATTATTAAATTCAAAGTACTTTCAGCAAATATCTAAAAATATTATTATTATAAGATTAAAACAAAACAATATAATAACAACCTATATACCCTGTACTATATGTTTTAAAGATAAAAAAGAAAGAAAGAAACCTGTAAGGCTGTAACAATAGCAGCGAGATCAAACCAAATTGCATTGAATCTTTAAATTTTTAATTGTGAAATAATTTATATCTTGTTGTGTTGAAAGAAAAATGATGGGTGATTGTTGGACATGAAATTTGAAAAGATAAAGAGACATTTTGTTTGGTTAAAAAAAGAAAATGAATGTTTGGAAGATAAAGTGTCAACTTAATTATAAATAGGGAAAGTAATGTTTGTGATAAGTTTGTTGCCATATATATATATATTTTAAAGATTTTTGTATTTTCAATTTTTACTAGTTTCTTATGTTTGCATATGATAATTCTATTTTCATAATTTCATAAATATAATTTTTATTTTTTTTCAATCAACCAATTAACTTTACATAATTTGGGGCCATCATCAAAGTGGGATCTTAAGCGATCGCCTACTTTGCCTATACTTAGGGCTGCCACTGTATATTCCTCCATTTGCAGAGATCTTGCTGAGATATGAGAGATGTGGCATTTAATTTGAAAGGTTCTTGATTTGAAGTATTATTATAGTTCGTATGATAAGATGGATTGTATAGCATTGAATGGAATTAAGAGAAGAAAAGAGCAAAAGAATTGTGTATTGTACTATCCAAACTCTTAAAAAATTAGGCACCATCCAAAATACCTTACTATAAACTCCAACAAAATCAATCAAGTTATGTAAGAGTTCAAATTATTACAAGAGCATTTACATGTGTGAAATTGAGTGGAAAAATGACTTGAATATAATGACTTAATTTGATTTGAAAAGATTAGAGTATTGAGTTATCGATGCTATATAAATGCATCATATTTTTATATATACTAGTCTTTTGTCTGTGCAATGAACGAGCTGCATTATTTTTAAGGTAATGTTAGCTTGTTGATTAATTGCATTGCATTTCTCATTTTGATTATGGATCCACAAAAAGTTGTAAGCACTTTAAGATGGTCGTTTTCATAAAAATAAGATCAAAAATGAAGAAATTGATATCGTGACCATGAAAGTACTCACTTCTATAAGAAATAAACTATATCTTGATAATGATATTTAAACAATCCTTCATGATGCATAGTCCATGGCATCAAAAATTGTAAAACTATTATATGTCATTATTTGTTAGCACATATCTTTATGAAAATTTGTATAAACACCTCGGACAAAATAAGTTGCCACCCAAGCATAAAGAAAATGTCTAGAAAATGAATATGAAATTGAGCCAACTTTCGGGTTTGTCTGATAGTTAGATATTCATCTAAATCCTCTATAAATACTCGCTAATATGGGTGGAACCAAGCTATAAGTGTACCTGCCTACCATCCTAGAATATGCTTTAAAAGTTTCAACTCTTATACATTCGTCCCCAGATGGAAGAACGAAACGACAAAGTCATAGGGAGAGATAAGCTGCTATCTCTAATTCATCTTCTTCTTCCATAGACAGAGATACTGGCAAATTAGTCCAATGACGTCGATCTCTACGAGTAATGTCTCTTGGCTTGGACATGTGATTATTTTGAGAACAAAAGTTTTAGGTGTAGGAACAGAGGGGAGGTGGAGGTGGAGGTGGAGGTGGTGGTGGATCCGGAGGTAGAGGTG